GGTCGGGCTCAGCCCCCTCCTCGGCTACGTCAGGCGAGGGCTCTAAGTGTTCCTCAGGGGCTTGGAGGACTGAGGCGGCCGAGAAATGACGAGAACTTCCGAGGGCAGGGACTCCCTGTGTCTGCGTCCCCGTCCCTGGGACAGGTGGGCAATGCAGTCTGCGTAAGGGGCACCGACCAAGTGCCTGGCACAGGGCGAAGACTCGCAGAAACTGTCAGTAAGGTACTCTGTCTTCTCCACCAGAATGGGGCACAGGGGGCGCCGGCTCTGGCAGGGTAGGGACACAGGGGTAGGCCAGGGATAGGTTAAAAGCCTGCGCCTGACTCAGGCCCGCGTCTGACTTTGGGTCCCAGCTCTCTCTCCCCAGCTCTGAAACCGAGGCAGGTGACCCGCCCCCGTGCCCCAGTTTCTCCGTCAGTAAAATGGACGGTCACACTGCCTTGCTGTGGTGAGCACTTGAACCCATATGGAAGGCAGCCCTGGGAGGCGGTGGAGGCCATAGGAATGTGTGTTGTCTCCCAGCAGAAAGTCAAGTTCAGGGACACCTGTGTCCTGAGCAGAGGCTGGTGGCCCAGGAGCCTGGGAAATGAGGTTGCAAAGTCGAACACACCCAGAAGCAGGCCATGTCACAGTGCTCTGGGGCTTGGGGTCGAGGACGGGTAAGGATTCGCAGCAGGTGGAGAGCCTCTGTGAAGGGGTGGGAAGAGCCCAGAGGCCTCTGAGCAAGGCGCGCCTCGGCCTCGGCAGGGCCAGGCTGGACCGGGTCTGAGTCACCAAGTGCTGCCAGCCTGTACCCTGCAGGGTCCTGCTGGTGCGGAGGGGCCTTTCCTGACGGTGAGGGACAGAGGCGGGTGCTGAGTGGGACAGCAGGTCCCTTATTGCTGCCTTAGGGAAGGACGCTCCTCGCGGGTGAGCAGGGCCCATCCCACTTTCACTGGGAACCTGGGAAAAGGCGCTCACGCTCCCTGGGCCTCCGTTTCCTCTTTGGCCAAACAGCCGTATTGATGCCAACTACACGGAGTTGTGACTGTCACGAGTGCCAGGTGCCATCCTGACGGCCGTTACGGGTGCTCCTCTTGTAACCCTCCCTGCCGCCCCGCGACATGGGCGCTGTTAGCACCTCCCTCTCACAGATGCGGAAACTGAGTCCCAGCAGCGCCCCGGGTCTCGTAGCTCAGGCAGAGGCAAGATGAGGAAAGGAAGCCGGGCACCTGCTCTGAGTGGGCGAGTGTGGAGTAGCCCTGCCCGTCAGCGCCCCAGGCAGGGGACGAGTGATCTCAGCAGCCAGGCTTCACCGTGCCCTGGGCTTTCAGGTGTCCAGGCCCTGGGCAGACCAAGGAGGGTGGAGGGCAGCCAGAGTGAGCCCGGTAGCAGCTGCCTGTCCACCCAGCGCTCCCTGCTCTCAGGAGCTGGCTCTGACCGCACACACTCATACTCGCACGCACCCCATCTGCCCTGTGCTCCCCCACACATGTCCTGCTCCCCGGCTCTGACGTCCAGGGCACAGGCGCTGCCCTAGCCCTGACCACGCATCTCGTGTCCTCCTTCACACCGACTTCACCTGCACAAGGTCCCTGGTTAAGCTCCTCCCCCACACATGTTCCAACAGGCAATCCGGAGCAGCCACCAGGCCACAGGCCCCACCTAGACTGCACCCCCTTGGGTGTGCTGCCCCCTACCTCCACGATGCCCTGTCACTGCGTTTTCCACCTGAGGCCCTGGCCCAGAGATACATGTTTAGTGGTTTTGAGACCGACTCTGGAGTCAGACCACTGGGTTCAAACCTCAGCTCTGTCACTTCCAAGCTGCGTGACCTTGGACAAGTTGCTTCACCTTTCTGTGCCTCAGTCTCCCCATCTATAAAGCCATATAACCATAGTCCCTATTTCACAGGGTATAGTGGGCATTAAAAGAGGTAATACACACAGTGCTTCCAACCAGGCCTGGGGTGAGCGGACCGCGGTGCTGCCCCCTAGCCGTTGTTTCCCATAGCGCACCCCCTCACATCGTCTGCGCGTCTCCACTGGGCCCACCCAGGGCACCCCTGGCTGTAGTCTGAATCCCTCCCTGTCCTCATGCCCGCACGTACCCAGGCCTGGAGTGTCTGCGGACACAGGGGCACTGGAGGCTGACCCACCTTCCCAGGTGCTGCGTGCACCACCGGTCGTCAGCCGAGTATCACCC